ATTCGCGGGTGACGCTAAAGGGCGCGGTCCGCGCACGCGTGCTCCGCATCCACTAACACGTCTTCTCTTCGCCAACGTAAGATCACAGCTCTGAAAATCAAGTACAACCCCTTTGCCAAAGCCTTCCTGGATGCCAAGGAAAGGTGAGTAGAGCTGTCGCAGCACGATCTCGTGAACGGTCTTCTGCAAGCGCGAGATCTGTGATTATCCGGAGAGGGACTAGACCGGCCGCACGCGCTTTACCTTCGGTAGAAATGCGTTGCCGGTATTCAGTCTGATCTTTAACCACATCGACAGTTCAGTAAACTCAGAATTATCTGTTCCTCGTCATAGAATTCTGACTGGTGATGTCTTATCAGCTGTTTGACACAGATTCCCGAAGGTGGCCCAGCCACGCTAAAAAAAATAATTAAGCGATTTAGACCTTTAAGAGTTCACTCTGCCGCTCCCCACCCTCACCCCTAATACTTCTGCATAGTATGGTTTCAATAACTTTGTTTTTTTTAAAAAACTACATTTAGCCTGGGAAAGGTGAGTCATTCACATGAGTAATTCATAAAGGTGAAAGAGTCGTATTTTTCAGGTCTGAGCAAGAGACTTCTGGGGTGTGAATGACAGCTCTACTCTGGGCCAGTGACTTCATGTCTCTGTGTCTTTCCTTCCCACTCCAGGAAAAAAAAAAAAAGAATAATGGTACTTATCAAGGACTTCTGACAAGGCCTAGAGTATAAATGTGGTCCCCTCAGAGTGTTCAGACTTTATTGCCTGAGTTGCAAGTCTTTTGTTGATACCCCCTCAAACTGTCTAATCGCTCCTTTTCATCCTAAAGCCTCTGGCTTAGCGGACGGGTGTTCATAATGATGCTGCGAGAATCTGTCCTATCAATATGCGATTTAATCTTAAGGATGTAGAAGTAGCATATATAACTTTTTCAGATGACCCAAGGCCTGAAGATCTGCTAATGTCAGGCGGCAGAACCTAGATTCAGACGAGGGGAGGGTGGCCCACTAAAAAGAATTTAGGACTTGAAGTAAGAGGCCCTGACTTCGAGTGCGAGCTTTGCCGTTTCCTGCGTGGTTGGTCTGGCCTCCGTCAGCTTACGTCTCTGAGAGCCGCTTTTGCGGTCAGCGAAATGGGCATGGGAATGCTTTCCTTGGCGGGTCGTTGGCCGCCCCGGCGTATCAGAGGCGATGCTGCCCCGAGGTCCTCTGCAGATCTTAGCTGCTGTTAGGGTGGCTTGGACGTCGCCATGCTGGGGCAGCGACCACAGATGATTTAGATAAACTAACCGGGAGTAGCTGTAGAGATGGTAAAATGGGGTGGCGTAAAATTGCAATTCAAAGCACAGTCGCGCGGGTCGGTAACGTGCCCCGCAGGGAGGGGAACGGCGGGAAAAACGGCGTTTGACCTTTCAAGAAACGCATCGCTCTCCTAAGAGACTTGGCACTGGGCTCGTGCAGGCGGCTGGACAGCCACGGTGCGTTTCGTTGCTCTTCCAGGAATCACCTAAAGGACGTCCCGGAAGCTGTCCCCGAGGGCCCGCACGTGGCCTGCTCTCACCGTGAGTCGCCCGGACACCGGGTGGGTGGGAGGCGCCTGGGGCTTCCCTGGGAGCCAGTCGCGACCCAGCAGGTTATCGCTTCCACTCAGACGAGTTTATGTCCCCCCCGGGGTGCCCAGAGCGAACCTGCGTCCCTGGGGGCTCCCGCGAATCGTGGGCGGGAGTCGAGAATGGAAGTGATGGGTGGCTTAGGCTGCGGGGTTCGCGTGAGGGAGGCTAGGAGCTGTCAGAGCTGCATTCTGGGCGTGTCCCCTGCCTCTCCTCTGTCCACTCCCGCCTCTCTGTGTTGGGCTCATCTGCTCTGAGCACTCGCTGATTTTCCAGTTGGTTGCCACTGCACGACCTCGACAGCTGTGACAATGAGCCAAGGTCCGAGGCATTGGAGGAGTCCACCCCGGGGTCTGAGACACCCGAGGGTGTGGACCGCTGTCCTGGGGTCTGAGACACCCGAGGGTGTGGACCGCCGTCCCGGGGTCTGAGACACCCGTGGGTGTGGACCGCCGTCCGCTGAGACGCCGTTCCTGGCTCCCCTGTCGCCTGACGCACCCTCCCTTCACTGCAGAGGTGGCAGTGCGGCCACACAGAGAGCCCCAGCTCTCGAAGAGCACGTTTTAAAGTGACGTGGGGCGCAAAGGCTTTGGGGAGGATAGGACCACACGCAGCGTTTTCAGAGTTCCCGCTTTGTGGTCTTCCGGGCGAACTTTCTGAGCTGCGTGCGTTGTACGCGGCCAACCAAGCAGACCGAAGTCTGGTTCTGGGGACCATTTGCACCCCTCTCCCCACTTTAGATACTTTACGTAAGAGGAATCAGGCCGCATTTGCCTTTTTAGGACTCTCTTTGTTCGTGGGGTCTGTTGGAATTTCATATGAATTTTGTATGGCTTCTTTTGAAAAAAAGCATTGCTTTTTTTCTGTTTCTGCCAAAAATGCCAATGGGGTTTTGACAGGGATGGCAATGAATCTGTGGATGACTCTGGGTAATTTTAATAATATTAAGTCTTCCAGTTCATGAATACAGGATGTCCCTTTTTTGTCATTTATCTGTATCATCTTTAATTTCTTTCAGCAGTGTTTTGTGGTTTTTATTGTACAAGTCTTTTGCCTCCGTTGTAGAGTTTATTCCTAAGTATTTCATTCTTTTTGATGCTATTGCAAATGGAGTTGTTTTCCTAATTTACTTTTTGGGTTGTTTATCGTTAGTGTATAGAAATGCAACTGAGTTTTGCATGTCGAATTCGTATCCTGCATCTTTGCCACATTTATTAGTTCTAACGTGTGTGTGTGTGTGTGTGTGTGTGTGTGTGGAATCTTTAGGGTTTTCTCCCTGTAAGATCATGTCATCTGCAAACAGATAATTTTATTTCTTCTTTTCCAACTTAGATGGTCTCGCTCTCTCTTTTTCCTTTTTCTCTGACTGCTCTGGTTAGGACTTCTGGCACGACGAGAGTGGCCTTCCTCGGCACGTTCACGATCTTAGAGGAAAAGCTTTCGGGTTT